CAAATTACCGTTTTGCCTTTTTTTTTTCATAAAAATTTGNTTCCCAAATAACAGGTGCTGTTGAGATTCCCCAAATCCAATTCTAAGGATTTCCTACATGGACATCTAAGCCCAAAGATTGAGTTTAATAATTGTTCTTTTTTGCTATCGCTAACCTAATTTTTTACTCTAATTTGAGTAAAAAATTTAAAAGAGTACAAATTCAAATTTAATTCAATTTTTTTTATTTATTTTGAGGGTAAATTTTTTGATACAGAGTGTCTAGATGTCACGCCCCATCCCGGTCTCTCAAGAATAAAACGCAACTAGGTCTTTGATGCACTTGTTTACATATATATAATCTAGATTAATAAAACACTAATTAATCCTACAGGTGCAATAATACCACCCATTACCTTAGTTAATAAGTATGGTGGTAAACATGTCTCATAACCTGTACCATATATAATACATGTACTAATTGNTTAATAAGCATGAAGGTAAACCTGTCTCATAACCTGTACCATATATAATACCTGTACAAATTATTTGTTTCCGAGGTTATAGACAGATACAAAATCCCACAACCACATAGCAGACATCACAAAGTGTGCCTGTTGAGTTTGTTTACAAATATATATACTATTAACCTGCTATAATAATCTCTCATTTAACATAATATACAACCCAACAATTTATTATCCAATCCCTCAACCCGTATCATTTACTCATTTAAACAAAAGGCATAACAAACAAAATATCATACTAACATTGTACAAAGCTTAATCGATTTGACAGTGGACTGAACTGTGTCTCCCTCTCATGTACCTGAAAAGGAGAAACTGTAGGGTATGAGCTAAATCACGCGCTCAGTGAGTATACATGTCGTATATGAAATGAAAATGATAATAATACACAGAAGTAGGTAAATACTATGTAAATACACGTATTAAACAACAACATCAATTCAATTATAAGAATTCACAAGCTATAACACATTCATACTATCCCTTATCGGATAATCGATCCCACATGGATCCGTGTCTTCCGAACCTCCAAGGAACACCACAGGGCTAGCACTGCACGCCCAGTGATCAGACATCGACGCTTTTGTCTCAAACAATGCGCCACATTCCACAATACACAATACAAAGCATCATCCATTCACATAAGCACTAAGCACATAGCACATAATCATGGAGAATGCTATTAAATTCTATCATCTAACGCCATATTATAATGACATTATCAAAACATATAAAGATTTATACATCCACCTCAAATATACCGATCTACTGCCCTTCGGTTCTATCGGTGGATCCTTCTGGTGTTATCGTATTAGTTCGAACACCAACTGTCTCACCTATTGTATCTAACACATTTGTAATCATAATATCAATATATTTATCACATTTAAAAGTTAATCATGCACTGCATGCAAAATGATGCACGCAAAATGCCCCTAATAACTCCGGTTTCCGTACTATCCACTCACACACTAACACTTTTGTTCTAGGGATCACATTTTCCTCCCCAAAATTTTAAAATCACTCACATTAATCACAATTAGGATTAACTAGGTCAAACACATTGACTAGGGGCCCATTTTCACACATTTCAACCTCGAATCCTAAAAATCGCACTTCTGACATTCCATACATTTCGCATCGGATGTTATATTCATTTGCATTCAAAATTTACATTATCACATCAAGCGTCATTTAAAAGTGATGGATGTAAAATTTCAGTTCATTTGGATTAAAATTCACACATGTAACAATAGCATTTAAAAATTAGGGTTTCGACGTTACCGGCACCATTTCCCAACCTCTATTGTTCTTTTCTTTTAAAACCGCTACATTTAAATTCACATACACATTTAATCAATGCAAAACAACCCCTTACTTGAACTCTTAAACCCCCAATTTCAACTCCCAAATCCTCAATCCCAAACTAGCCACCTAATGCATCCCAATAGTCATTTTTCACATTTAATTAAATACCCATGTAAATTCCTTTCTTAATAGCCTTCAATTATATTTAACACACTTAAATAAACCCACACAATTTTTTTTTTGAAATTAAACTAAAATATTCCACATATAAACAATACTTAAAATTAATCACACACACCCACACACTAAAATGACCACACACACCCTTTTACCTTCTTCTTGTTTTCTTCTTCCTTTTTTCCCAACCTTCTCTTGCCTTCTCTCTTTCCTTGCTCACGGCATCAAGAAGACACACACATATTTTTTTTCTCTTTTGTTTACTCTCACTCACTCTCGGTTTCTAGCAAAAGGAAGAACACACACACACACACTGATTTAGGTTTTAAACACACACACACACACTTTACTATACATTCTATACCTCTCTCATTCAGAGGAGGAGCTGATGAACGTGTCTGGTGGCCTTGCACCAAGGGGATCTTTTCGGTCAAATCAGGATATACGATAGGCATCAAATAGTTGCAGTCCTCTGTGGAATGCAACTCTTTTGTCTCTCCCCATCCCAAGCTCTGGCAGGTGATCTGGAACATGAAGGCCTTACCAAAGGTGAAGCACTTTTGGTGGAGGGCTTGCCACAACATTCTTGCTACTAAGGAAAATCTTTATAAACGTAAGTGTGCTGCTACCCCTACCTGCCTTATTTGTTTGTCTTTTCCTGAATCTATTGAACATCTTTTGTTTGAATGCGAGTGGACCCAGAGGATCTGGTTTGGAATGGATTTGTTTGTTGGGCAGACTGTGAACTCTTTCATGTCTGTGTTACAACAGACATCTTGTTTCTTGGAGCTGGTGGAGAATGCCGCATGTAGATTGGTGTTTTTAGGGAAATTAGCAATGGTGGGTTGGGTCATTTGGAAAGCCAGGAACCAGAAAGTGTTTTGCGATGAGGAGGTCAATGTTTTTGCCTCACTTTTGCGTGCTCAGTGCCTATGGAGTGACCAGTTTTGTGGGTCTGCTACTGGGAATGTGAGGCCTGATGATCTTATGGTTGCTGAGGAACCTCCCTCTTCCCTTGGTTCNTGTTTACTCTCACTCACTCTCGGTTTCTAGCAAAAGGAAGAACACACACACACACACTGATTTAGGTTTTAAACACACACACACACACTTTACTATACATTCTATACCTCTCTCATTCAGAGGAGGAGCTGATGAACGTGTCTGGTGGCCTTGCACCAAGGGGATCTTTTCGGTCAAATCAGGATATACGATAGGCATCAAATAGTTGCAGTCCTCTGTGGAATGCAACTCTTTTGTCTCTCCCCATCCCAAGCTCTGGCAGGTGATCTGGAACATGAAGGCCTTACCAAAGGTGAAGCACTTTTGGTGGAGGGCTTGCCACAACATTCTTGCTACTAAGGAAAATCTTTATAAACGTAAGTGTGCTGCTACCCCTACCTGCCCTATTTGTTTGTCTTTTCCTGAATCTATTGAACATCTTTTGTTTGAATGCGAGTGGACCCAGAGGATCTGGTTTGGAATGGATTTGTTTGTTGGGCAGACTGTGAACTCTTTCATGTCTGTGTTACAACAGACATCTTGTTTCTTGGAGCTGGTGGAGAATGCCGCATGTAGATTGGTGTTTTTAGGGAAATTAGCAATGGTGGGTTGGGTCATTTGGAAAGTCAGGAACCAGAAAGTGTTTTGCGATGAGGAGGTCAATGTTTTTGCCTCACTTTTGCGTGCTCAGTGCCTATGGAGTGACCAGTTTTGTGGGTCTGCTACTGGGAATGTGAGGCCTGATGATCTTATGGTTGCTGAGGAACCTCCCTCTTCCCTTGGTTCTGATATCCTAGTCTGTTGCGATGGGGCTTTCAACTCCTCTTCAGGGACTGCTGCTTGTGGGGTGGTGGTGTGTTTTGAAGGTGGGGCTTTAATTTTTGGTGCAACCAAGTCATTTTCTACTAGATCTTCTTTGGCATCTAAAGCCGAAGCTGTTTGTCAGGCTTGCATTCTTACTGATGCTCTTTTGCTGTCTAATGCTACTGTTATGAACGATTGTTTGTCTCTCATTAAACTAGGTGTTACGAAGGATGCTTTTCCATGGGAGATTAGGGTCATACTGGACGATATTAAATTTTTGCAAGGTTGCATAACCTTCACTTTTTACACAAGCCACGAGCCTGTAATAAGGCAACTCATTAGGTGGCAGCTTCTAAACTAACCAATTCTCTCCCTCTGGATTGGTTATGCTCCCCCCTCCCGAGCTTATGGAATCTCTTTTGTCTGACTGTAATTTAAATTTTTCTACGTAATTAATGTTATTTTCTATTTCTTTGCTAAAAAAAAAAAAGTATGCACACACATTTTCCACACTTTAAAGTACACACACACTTGGCATAAACACACCCACAAAAGTAACTTTTAAAATAACTCACCAGCTTTTGTTTGACACATGTGTAAGATATTTCCATGCAACTTTAATATTTCTACTTGCCTCCCCCAGATTCTTAAGTGATCCCAAAACCAACCCAATATTATTTTCATACACAAAATTCTATCCAATAATTAATTTCACATAATTACAATCGGTCCACATAATTATGATAATATGTATACAATGCATGATCGGGTCTCACACCAGACAGCATTCGTACAACTACACAACACTCGTGAGATATATACGACTATTTAGCACTCTCACGTAAAGCATTATAATTCTCCCAAAAAACAAAAATGCATGAGACTAAAAACATAGGGCCATCTATTATTAGTCCATCGGAGAAGAGAGGGGGCTAATAATATACCATTTTACAACTGCAGGGACAGTAAAAGAGAAATGGGGTACTGATAACAATTAATTATTTGCCTATAAAAAGGAATGAATATATTCCATGTGCAAACCTAAAATATATTCTGCAGATGCTTGAAAGAAGACATGCACGCTTAAATAATACATATCTGAAAACGAAAGTAGTATCCGAGCATGCCAAGATGAAAGAAAGTATTCTCACCATAATTATTGACTCTGTTCTTGACATTTGGATAGAACATGTTATCACTATATCATCTTTGCACCTTGGCTTGCGTCTCAGTGTTTTTGCTTGGGATCACATTCGAGTTCTCACTACTGAATCTTCCCCATCTCCCTTGTCCACCCTTACCAACTCCTGCCCTTCCACTGCCATCAGATCTTGATGTGCGTGAGCTTGGATTTGCTGAGACCCTTACCGGGGTAGGATCTCTTTTTGAATTGGAAGAACTTCCTTTCTTGTATCTATTGCTTTCTGTTGCTACATTCTCTTTTATGCTGGTATCAATGGCTTTTGGTGCACTAAAAATTCTGTAACTTGAAGCAGGGGACTTGGTAGTGGTAGGATGTGAAGGCTCTTGATTGGGAAACTCATTTGCAGGAAGTTTCAAGTTTCTAAACACGGAAGCCTCACCTTCAACTTGCTTAGTTTCTCTTGTGTGGGTGGCGGAATTCATCGAATCTTGTCTGGTCTCCTGCACTAGGGCCATTAATATCCATTGATTTAGTAGGAGGAAACATGTTTATCGGCTCCTTTCTGTACCTATTATCAAGTCTGAGTGGAGTCTCTGATGGAGAGGATGAAGTTGTAGGTGTCCTTGTAGAATTAAGTACAGGTCTGGTGCCCATAACCTCTAACGAAGTATTTGCTGGAAAGGATGACAATTCTGGTGCAGCTCTCATTGGTTGACAATATCACCCAAAATATTCATAGGTGCCCAAATTCAAACAGCTTATAAAAGCTACCTTGGGAAGATACGACCATAATCGACTGTGCAACTCCGATCCAGGTAGGAGGACAAAGTTTAGGAATGTAGAACCATAGAGGCCTTCAACTTCTGCTTTAGTGCAATGGTCAACCGCACATGGCGTACAATCTGACGCACCTCACGAACATACACACCAATCTCAATTAGCGATGCAATTTCCTTCAAATCTAAAATCCCCAAATTTCCATTTAAGAACAAAAATTAAATAGAAACTGAATCATTATACATATATGTAAATTGGTCTTACGCTGCAAAGTGGAGGGACCAGTGGATGTAACAGAGTTTGAAGGAGGAGGAGCATGTTCTTTCATCTCAACGTCTTTAGTCATTCTGCTAAAAACCAGAGAAATGCACGAAAATATCACTACAAAAACAAAAACTGAACACATATTGAGAACACCATAACTCGAATTTACGGTACAAAAGATAATTGAAATTGTGGGATCAAATTTACCTTGAATTATCAGGAAACGAGGCAATCGAAATCGATTTGAGCAAGAAAGCTAGGGTTTATTTCTTGAGCAAGAAAGCTAGGATTTGAGCAGGAAATCAATTTCAATCAAAAACTATGCATATTTTTTTCACAGTGAGGATTATTTCTTGGATTTTAAAAACTGTCCAATTCCAATTTTAAAAACAATTCTTAAGAGTGAGGATTATTTTTTTCTTAGTTATGAATGTTAGGATGGATGTTGAGTTGATTATTATTGAGTGTTCATTTTGTAGGATAATTTATTTTCAAATTGGGTATTGCATAGTTTGTGAAATTTCTATTTGCAAAATCAACACACACACACAGTCTCAAGCAGCAGGCACACACAGAGCAAGCGCACACACGACAGCAAACACACACACAACAACAAACACACACAGCGCAACAACATTAAATTTATTTTTTTTTTTTTCAATTTGGGTTTTTGAATGTTAGTGTTTAATTTTTGGTGTTTTAATTTGGCTTTTTTTATATTTGGGTGTTTTTAATTTAGATGTCTATAAAATAGGTGTTTAATTTGTGATCTCACTCTCTCTCTCTCTCTTTCATGACAAACCGCACCCAAACACACACAGAGCAACACACACACACACACACTGCATATTAGCACACAAACACCCAAATTTGTGTTTGAGTTTTTGAATTTGTGTTAATTTGGATTTTTGAATGTTTGTGTTTAATTTGGGTGTTTTAAATTTGGCTTTTTTATATTTGGGTGTTTTTAATTTAGATGCCTTTACAATGGGTGTTTAATTGGATGTCTTTTTTTTTTAGTTATGAATGTTAGGTTGTTTGTGCATACGTTGAGTTCAAATTATTGAGCATTCATTTTGTAGAGTAATTTATTTTCAAATTGGGTGTTGAATATAGTTTGTGAAATTTCAATTTAATTTTTTAGTATCTTGATTTCATGAATGTTAATTAGTATGAAATAGGTTTTTGTTGATCAATTAGTGTGAAATAGAGGCTTATTGTGTGTTAATTGATAGTACTTCCATAATTTCAATGATTTTATAACACACCGTCAAACCCCCTCCCCCCAAACACACATTGTTGGTATTTTCAAATGGAATTTTCACCGTTGTAGGTTTTTTGAATGTTATATTTTTAAGAATTGGATTTTCAAATTGGGATTGAATTGTATTTTGATTGAATGTTATAGTTATAAAAATTGAGTTATTTTGATAATAGTTGAAATTTTATTGTAATTGATGTTAATTATACATAGCTTATGAAATTTACTGTGTAGCCACCAACGTTTCAACTGCACAATCAGCGACTGATGGATGATGTAGTTATTTTTGACAACGTATGTTCATCATCTAATTAAATCTCTCTAAACATCTCTAATTGATTTTTTAATAACTTATTTATTTTGATTAATCTTTATTAATGTCATGACAGATGGACGACGATCTAGAAAATACCGTATGACAAGTTTTTCTTACTCATCATGTTATTACTTTTTATCTAATCTTTTTACCCCGCTTATTTAGTATTCAATGTTTTTTTATCTACAAGTTCGAAGACTTCGTCATAATAATATAGGAGTGGTAATTTACAATTAGTATGAACTAAATCATCCTCCGTATACGTGAGGTAGTGTTATCTCACACCTATTTCTCATTCATTTTTTTTAGGTAGACACCTATATGTGAGGTAGGCTCCGTGAGGTAGACTCAACCTATACGTGAGATAGACTCCGTATACGCAATTAGTATTTACTGTTATGTGAATAATTTAGGTAGTTGTGCATTTCCTACATTGAGCAAAATACGTTCGTATTGATACGAGGACATTAAGGATAGTGATGAAGAGAATGTTTAGAGGGACGAAGATGACATTTAAGAGAGTTATTGAAAGATAACATTATGTTAGAGAAAACTCAAACGATCTGCAATCTAGTACCAACCTGCCCACCTCTGACGATGACTAACCCACCACCGATCAAACTATTGTCCAGGTGCGAAAGCCTTTCTTACTGAGAATCTCTATATTTCTCTACGTAGACACACAACACATACACAATACATACACAAACACACACACACGTAACTTCAACCAATCAAACACTCTCACATCGAACTCACACACCACTATACTGCCACCAATAAAGATTTTGTGATTGAAATCATTAGGCAAATGAACCGTTTGTTGAAATACTAGAGATAAATACTATGTGCTTTTTCTCTCCTACATCACACCCAATTCGATAGGAGCTTGAATATTTGATCATAAATTCCCCTCCCCAACAAAATACAAATGTGTGTGCTCATTAATTTTTTACATAATTTATGTTAGTGGAATTGATGACAATAATTATGTTGAATCCAACAAGAANTAAAAACTATGCATATTTTTTTCACAGTGAGGATTATTTCTTGGATTTTAAAAACTGTCCAATTCCAATTTTAAAAACAATTCTTAAGAGTGAGGATTATTTTTTTCTTAGTTATGAATGTTAGGATGGATGTTGAGTTGATTATTATTGAGTGTTCATTTTGTAGGATAATTTATTTTCAAATTGGGTATTGCATAGTTTGTGAAATTTCTATTTGCAAAATCAACACACACACACAGTCTCAAGCAGCAGGCACACACAGAGCAAGCGCACACACGACAGCAAACACACACACAACAACAAACACACACAGCGCAACAACATTAAATTTGTTTTTTTTTTTTTTCAATTTGGGTTTTTGAATGTTAGTGTTTATTTTTGGTGTTTTAATTTGGCTTTTTTTATATTTGGGTGTTTTTAATTTAGATGTCTATAAAATAGGTGTTTAATTTGTGATCTCACTCTCTCTCTCTCTTTCATGACAAACCTCACCCAAACACACACAGAGCAGCACACACACACACACACACTGCATATTAGCACACAAACACACAAATTTGTGTTTGAGTTTTTGAATTTGTGTTAATTTGGGTTTTTGAATGTTTGTGTTTAATTTGGGTGTTTTAAATTTGGCTTTTTTATATTTGGGTGTTTTTAATTTAGATGCCTTTACAATGGGTGTTTAATTGGATGTCTTTTTTTTTTAGTTATGAATGTTAGGTTGTTTGTGCATACGTTGAGTTCAAATTATTGAGCATTCATTTTGTAGAGTAATTTATTTTCAAATTGGGTGTTGAATATAGTTTGTGAAATTTCAATTTAATTTTTTAGTATCTTGATTTCATGAATGTTAATTAGTATGAAATAGGTTTTTGTTGATCAATTAGTGTGAAATAGAGGCTTATTGTGTGTTAATTGATAGTACTTCCATAATTTCAATGATTTTATAACACACCGTCAAACCCCCTCCCCCCAAACACACATTGTTGGTATTTTCAAATGGAATTTTCACCGTTGTAGGTTTTTTGAATGTTATATTTTTAAGAATTGGATTTTCAAATTGGGATTGAATTGTATTTTGATTGAATGTTATAGTTATAAAAATTGAGTTATTTTGATAATAGTTGAAATTTTATTGTAATTGATGTTAATTATACATAGCTTATGAAATTTACTGTGTAGCCACCAACGTTTCAACTGCACAATCAGCGACTGATGGATGATGTAGTTATTTTTGACAACGTATGTTCATCATCTAATTAAATCTCTCTAAACATCTCTAATTGATTTTTTAATAACTTATTTATTTTGATTAATCTTTATTAATGTCATGACAGATGGACGACGATCTAGAAAATACCGTATGACAAGTTTTTCTTACTCATCATGTTATTACTTTTTATCTAATCTTTTTACCCCGCTTATTTAGTATTCAATGTTTTTTTATCTACAAGTTCGAAGACTTCGTCATAATAATATAGGAGTGGTAATTTACAATTAGTATGAACTAAATCATCCTCCGTATACGTGAGGTAGTGTTATCTCACACCTATTTCTCATTCATTTTTTTTAGGTAGACACCTATATGTGAGGTAGGCTCCGTGAGGTAGACTCAACCTATACGTGAGATAGACTCCGTATACGCAATGAGTATTTACTGTTATGTGAATAATTTAGGTAGTTGTGCATTTCCTCCATTGGGCAAAATACGTTCGTATTGATACGAGGACATTAAGGATAGTGATGAAGAGAATGTTTAGAGGGACGAAGATGACATTTAAGAGAGTTATTGAAAGATAACATTATGTTAGAGAAAACTCAAACGATCTGCAATCTAGTACCAACCTGCCCACCTCTGACGATGACTAACCCACCACCGATCAAACTATTGTCCAGGTGCGAAAGCCTTTCTTACTGAGAATCTCTATATTTCTCTACGTAGACACACAACACATACACAATACATACACAAACACACACACACGTAACTTCAACCAATCAAACACTCTCACATCGAACTCACACACCACTATACTGCCACCAATAAAGATTTTGTGATTGAAATCATTAGGCAAATGAACCGTTTGTTGAAATACTAGAGATAAATACTATGTGCTTTTTCTCTCCTACATCACACCCAATTCGATAGGAGCTTGAATATTTGATCATAAATTCCCCTCCCCAACAAAATACAAATGTGTGTGCTCATTAATTTTTTACATAATTTATGTTAGTGGAATTGATGACAATAATTATGTTGAATCCAACAAGAAAAGTAAGGAGTCTTATATTTCGGGTTTACAATTGTTTATTTTACCTCACATATTTTGATAATTTTTATATTTCAAATATTTTAAAGTATACATGGAAGGATATGAAGACGAAGTTGTTTCTTTATTTATGCATGTGTGTATTTTTTGTGTTCCGTCTTTTGTACAATTAACTAATTATACATGGTTATGACGATTTTGAGTATGAAATGATGGTTGTTTTGGTGGTTGGGTATGTATTGATGATTGTGTTGATATGGTATATTATGATGATTGCTATGTATGATTGTAAGTTTTGTAGACAAGTTTAAATTTTTTTGGGCTTCTATTTTTAGAGAAAACTCTGCCAAATTTTTTTGAAATTAGTAGGGACTAGCTTGATGTTTTGGTGGTTGGATATGTGTTGATGATATATATTGATTATTGTGATGGTATGGTGAATTATGATGATTGCTATGTATGATTGTAAGTTCTGTAGACAAGTTTAAATTTTTCTAGGTTCCTATTTTTAGAGAAAATTACGCCTTTAATTTTTGAAAAATTGAAGGGACTAGCTTGATGTTTTGTTGGTTGGATATGTATTGATGATTATGATGGTATGATGTATTATGGTGATTATTATATATTATTGTAAGTTCTGTATTTATGTTTAGATTTTTTTGGATGTCTATTTTCAGAGATAATTTTTCTTGTCTATATTAGGTTGCAAAGAGTCTTCGGGTAATATATTATTTTTTGTGTATTAATTTATTTTTTCATTGCCTAGGAGAAGACTCTCACAATTAATGTGGCTTAAGGGAATGGATTGTAGCTTGCCATGTTCATCCTACATTGCTTGGTGAAGTCCTTGCCCAAGGACTTGATAAGCATGAGTTTTGGACAATAATGTTATACACTTTTTCTTTACTATGAGATGGTTTTAATAATGTTATAAACCTTTTCATGGTTTTTTTTTAAATTAGCAAGATTCCTTCAATGTGATTAAGCTTGGGTACTCATAACTTCTTAATAAAGTCCATATGAAAGAGACACTTAGTATTTTCTTTGAGTGGGACTATTCATGTCCCTTAAGTATCTTTTCCCAACCCATTTACTCTTCTTACTTCAAACCACTAAATTCACATTATTTATTTTCGCGCCATTTAAAGCGAAATTTCATTGTTTCAAGATGATCTAAAATATTTGAAGTGTCTTAAAATATTTTGACATATTTTTACTAATGTCTTCGAAATATTTTGAAGTAATTTAAGATATTTTAAAAATAAATTATTTATTTTTAATTTGTTTCTAAAATACTTTCGTACTGAAATAATACACCAAAATAATTTTTTGATTATTGTCTTTATAGTAGGTTGAAATAAAATTAAATAAATTTAGTTTTTAATTAGTAAATATAGACGAGTTGAGTTTAGTAACTCATGAGGTGGGTATAAATGAAATAAACTTAGTAGTTTAAAGTAAGAGGATTAAATGAGAAGTGAAAAGAGATTAAAGGGGTGGGAATAGTGTCACCAATTTTCTTTTTGGCTTAGAGTTTTAATTGATGTTTTACTATATCTCTATAAAGCGAATTCAAATCCCATACTTTTATTCTATATTTCTTGTTTCAGTAGCATTACTCCTTCTACTTGAATTCATGATAGGTGATCTATTAACACAAAAAAAAAAAAATAATATATATATATATACCGGAGGAATCTCACTACCTACAAAGCTGGTTCCATTATTCCAAGTAATGTCTCAAAAGAAAATCCACAAAATCAAGATAGTTACTTAACTACAAACTACTAAACTCAAAAACCACACAAGGTCACTAGTAACATTAAATCTGAGATTTTTCAAGAAAAATTGAGCTTCCCACAATCAAAAGCAGCCCTTTTCAGGAGCAACCCAGACATGAATCCAGCCAAAAATTTCTCTCTCAAAAAGCTCATCACTTTCCCATTACTTTGCTGTATGAAGCCCACCATATAAGCTATACTAATGAGATCAAAGCTTCTCCATCTTCTCTCTCTAGCATACTTCTCCAACCCCTTCTTAATCCTCTTATATTCATTTTCTTCCTCTTTCTCTTGTGTTTCACCACTTGGTTCTTTTCTTAAAGCTTCAGCCAAACACCTCGCCAAGACGACACCGTCTTCTAGGGCTGCACAACCACCTTGGCCGATGTCCGGTGTCATGGGGTGAAGCGCGTCTCCGGCTACACAGACATTGCCTTTGCTGATGTTTCCCCATAGCAGTTCCCATGGATGTCTGAACCTTAATGGAGCAGCTATGATACTCTCTAATGGAGTGATCTCTATGACAGCCTTGACTCTATCAGGTACTTCTCCGAGCTTGCTCAATACAAACTGCTTCATTTTCAATGGATCACCCTCCATCTCTTTATCTACATAGTGGAAATTCAGTACATAATCAAGTTCAGTGACAGGAGTGCACCACCTATCAATTCACCCAACAAAAGTCACATGCTGGCAAAATTGGCACTACACGGTCATGTTTTGTATATGGGTTTGGATGAGATTTAAAAGGTGGGTTTTGTAAAAATAAATCAATGCACCTTCTAAATTCGTGTGCTCGAAATTTATAAAATAAATAAACCGGGATAAAAGATTGTATCAAGATTATATACAAAAAAATAGTAAAATATCCTCTAGTATCGAGGGAATTGTACATGTCAAAGCAAAATATCCAACAAGTATTAGCTCTCCCTAAAAAGGAAGTGATCCAGCCGCATCTTCCATTACGATTACTTTGTTACAACTTCACTTCAGTCACTAATTCTGCCTTCGACATCACTGTCGGCGCGCAATGAATGAATTAAAATCCATGTATGGGGTTTAATGTAACCCATGGGGGGGGCAGGTTTCAAAAGTAAGAGATGAAATTTGTAGATACGAAGACTGTTTTATCCAAAAATTCATTCTTTTATTCATCTAATAATAGACATTTTAGTCAATTTAGTAATATGATTTGCCATGAATCTCATAAACTCCACATGTATTTATATCACCTACCAAACGTGAGATTGAATAAAATATTACAAATTTTTGGGGTTAGGTTTGAAAAGACATCATAAATGCAATGCAATCCTGCCAGAAAATAACATCCAAACAGGCCACATAAGGGTTGGCATGGTCTGAGCCACAGCTGACCACCCTTGCCCGCCTCTAGGATAGTATATTGAAATGGTCCCGGTCCATTGCTTATCAATTCATTTATATAATCACACACCATTTTCAGAGTCATAAAATGATGAGGACTGAAATGACGTCGTAAGAAGAGAATTGAAGAGAAAATAAAAAATGGACGTGAACGGCTTGGTAGTGAGAGATTAAAGGCATACCTTGAGGAGAGGCAGTGTAGGTGAAAAACCAATAAACAGTGTGATCATCACAGGGGATGAACCCTGCTCTAACACCATTCCCAGCATACTGCCAGAACTTGGTCCCAAAGCCATGACTGCTCTCAAATTCTGCAAAACCCCTAATGGCTGACCGGCCCACGAACGCCGGCTTGCTGAACCCTAACCATGTTGCCACCACCGAGTTCACTCCATCACATCCAATCAACACCTTTCGTATACACATTAGCATAGTGATGAGCAGGAAAAGAAATGGTCTCAAGTTTCCTCAAAGCCCACATTGAAAAATAAAAGTGAGTCCATTCAATTATTGCTCTACACATCTGTCACATGGTTGGCCTCTTAATAGTTGGGTCTAAAGAAATGATCAAAATTTCGTTTCGAAATGTTTGCAACGTTTCTATTTTCAAAGAGATCGAAACGAATCAATGATAGAATTGAAATTCTAATATATTGATGTGTTTCATAATATTTCAAGGTGTTTTGTAATGTTTCAATATATTTATACAATTATTATAAAATATTTCAAGATACTTTTGTATAATTCGACCAATGTTTTAAAAAAATAATTCTTAAATTTTTTATTTTTTTTTTATTTTATTTTCAAATCAGGTCAAAACGTTTTTGTTTTCTTGGTGACTGAAATGAAATTTTGATCTTGAACTAGAGACCTTGTTCATAAAGTACATAATCGCATTTATGGTTCCTTTAATTGGGAGAAGTTCTTTTTCATGTTTGACACCAATGTTTTGGAAATAAATCAAATAAATAATGTAGTAGCAAGCACCTTGGTTTTGAGGATGGTTCCATCAGCAAGATGAACCAACTTGAAATGACCAGAATCCTCAAAGGACACCACCTTGGAAGAGTACCTGATGGTACCACTTGGTAGTTCCTTTGCAAGAGTTTCCGACAACAACTTCCTTTGAGAACACCGAACTTCAAGCTCTCCCCTGCACATCATACATGGACATCCTCTCACAAATATGAAGAAAAACCCAATTGTTCTCTCTCTCTCTCTCTTGTTTTCTTCGGTCTCTATTGTAAGCTATTAGATATTTATAATGAGAGTATGTTTTTGTAAACTTGTAACACTGGTAATCTATATACTAAATGCGTAATACATCAACAACATACAGTGATATATAAGCTTAAAAATCATCAATCTGTGGTGATATTAAGTCTATGATAAACTTACTGTCCCTCTTGGGCCACAAATGACAATTCTGAAGTGGCAAGTCCAGTAACTGTAGAGGTAACAATTAACCTACATAACATATCAGAATCTAGTTAGTGACTCTAAATCAAAAACCAATACAATGTTGACCCATCGCAAAGTAAAATAGTTTTTTTTTTTTTTACCAAATTATCACTTTTTCTATACTTCATCCGGTTCTAACTTTTTTCACCATTCTTTAAAAACACAGGTTTAAACCACGCTTTTTAATATAAAGATGGATTTTGCAAATGCATTTTTATATTGAAATGGGTTAAATCCTCCATGTCTTTATATAAAACTATATAAATAGAAGGAAATTGAAAAAAAATATGGTGTCTTGAAAATGGATTGTCTAATGCATCGATCCATTGACTCAAATAGACTAACCAGAAAAGCCCAAAAATTAATGTGTTGGAAGTTATTACCCGTGCAAGCGGTCATGGCGTTGGCGAAGAAAATCAGCGATGCCCAAGGCATCCATTGCCTTCCAAGCATTGGTCCATGTTGTAAATGCAAACCCTGTGATTCTCAAACTCTCTGATGACTCCAATACCAAGCTTCGGATCCCCAACCTATCAAATCAACCGACAATCTCATTTTAACATAGATAAGTGATATACAAACCTATTGGAGACCTAACGAGTGACTTATTTCATTATAACTGATGATACATGAAAAAGATTTTAACCATGTACGAACTCAGGAAATGAAGTCAGATAAGCAGCTCAAAGCCCAGAGCTCAGAGACCAAGCCTCGAGCTCCTCTCGGATGAAAGAGCAGAAAAGGTGAGAAGAGAACAATTGGCTAACAGAAGGCATCCACAAAACAGCAAGAAGACAGTAATTGAAGCGTGAAACTCTCAACTATCTAAGATCCCCTCCCAAAATCAAGAGAAATCCAACAGATGAAGGGCTGAGACCTCGCTGAAGATCCCTTAGAATCAAGAATCAGACTATAAATATTGAATAGGGCCTCCAGCGAAGGGGGACGAAAAAAAATATATGTAAATCATTCTGTAATTTATAATGGTGGTAAATATAGATTCGAGGAGCAACAGACTCCATTCGAGAGTAGACTAGCCGAGAGCTCGATGAATCACTATATTTTCAATGTGCAAGTCATCCCAATTCCCTGGCTCTTGAACACTTTGATTCTAATCAATTTGCGTAATGGATTCATTCTGCTCAATTGGCATAATAAACACCATCAACAACTATTAGATTAGTTAAAAAATTTATCTTTCATTTGAAAAGTAGCAAATCACTTTTCTTAATCCAACAAATATAAAGTCCTCAAATTTAGTAAAAATAACATTTTTCTTCAACATCATGTACAGAATATGAGAGAGAGAGAGAGAGAGTGTGTTAAAAGTGGGTACCGGTGAAGGCCCAAGGATGTTGCCAAGCCAGCAATACCAGCTCCAACAATCACAATGTCCTCGACAACTTCCATAGTAGTGTTGGATATTTTTCTTGCTGTAGCCTGAAGTTGTAATATGTAAGATGTGATAAGGCTCTGTTGTTGGGAGACGAAAATTTTGGACTGAGACTATAAATAAGAAGATTGTTTTTGTTTTTTTGAAGGAAATATGGAGAAGAAGAGGATTTGAACACGGCAGCTACACCTTGGAGGTCGGAGGTATCAATAAAATAAAGTTAAGTAATAAACTTACACTATTTGTGAAGATTGACGATGACACCCCATCTGCTGGCTTGGTTGGATAGCTACAACTTTAGTTTTTAATTATTTATTTTTTAACCCCCACAAAAAAAGTTTTCCCCAATTTTCTTTCCTTCTTGTCGTAACTATTTTTTGTAGTTGCTGCAGCAATTATTACTTATTAGTGTGATTATGATAGGCTGTCTCATTCTGCAAATGGGCCGACAAAGACAATAACACCCAGCCCAAAAAAATATAAAGAACTGTCAGCACTCCGACATTGATTAATCTTTATCCCCATTAATCTCGCTGAATACATATAAATTTTATTTATGTGATTGAACTTGTTGGACCACCCATTATCTCATAATTATGTAGGGGCCCCATTAGAGGAATGGATTTTTTATTTTCACACATTTCTCTATTTTTAAAAATTAAACTCTAATAAATTCTCTATTTAGACTAGTTAAAATCATAAATAAAAAGATAACATATTTTTTTTTAGTTTTTATTATTACTAAAGGCTATAGACTATTAAAGCTATTCCTTTACTAAAATAGAAAACTTTATTGGAGTTCTTTAAATTTTCATCAAAAACTCTTTTTATTGATGGCACCTGGTTCCTCGGCCCTCTACCACTAAAAAAATAAAAAAGGGTGAGAGCGTAAAAGGAGATAGTGAATAAGTGACATACCTACCGCAATTGCAAAATAATTTTATTACAAGGCTATGAAATAATGACAATCCAATGGTATTCTTTCGCTTGTCATTACACTAAACACTGAATTTCAAGATTTGTCAAATGAAAACATATAATTGAGAGTCTTGAAGCCAATAAGAATTTAAGGATCATAAATTATATGTATGCGACTCCTATCGGCCAAGATACACTAGTCATAGTTTCTCTCTCAATCTCCCAATCCTAAAGAGAAAAAAGATCCAGACGCACAAACCCAAGAATAGATACAATGTCCATTAGGAAAAAATATTAGGTGTAACCATCCAGTGATAAATAAACAAATAAGTAAAATAGACCTCACTATCTCAAATAATCACTCCTCCACATAAGATAATAACCACTACATATTCAAAAAATAAGGTTCACTTCCTAATTTATTTGTTTATTATTGTACGATTACACCCAATATTCACTCTTCCAATGGGTCAAACAACATAACTGTGACGCCCCTAAAATCGGGTCTTTTGTCAACCGTTGATCACCCGTCAACTCGCGAATGTATCAATGATCGTCGCACCACCCGACATCATGTCAATAGCATCCCTTTAATCAGGATCTTAACCCACACATCCGTGATCCTTTATACATTAGTTTATCATCAATTAAATCCCTTAACCAGATTTGAGCAAGAGGAAAAAATGACCAAGAGCTTAGTAAAACATTTCATTTCAAAATTTTGAAGTTTTTAAGAAAACCTATCGGTAGAAGTGTTCGAAAACCTATCAGTAGAAGTGTTCAAAAACCTACCGATAGAAGTTGTGCACAGGATTCCTGTTTTTAGAAAATCTGTGAAAACCTACCAGTAGAAAAAGTTCTTGTTCTATCGGTAGAAATAGCCTATTGGAATTCTTCTACCGGTAGAACCTGCCTTCTGGACCACATCTATCGGTAGACGAGCAAAATGTTCTACCGATAGGTGTGCCCAGTTTTGCCTGTTTCACCCGTTTTTGGTTTCAAATCCATTCCTTATCAATGAAAAACATGTAAAATGAAGTTTCCACATCAAACATAGTTCGTACAAGTTTGATTACAATCCTTTTCATATTTTTACATGTCCAAAAATCAAATTTTACAAAATTTTACAAAAACCCAAAATAAATCCACATTCTGGCTTTTCTTCATCCCTGAGGCCTCGACTGCGAGCCGTCCACCAGTGTGTAATCCGCACCTAAAATATTTTTTCATAAAGGATGAGCCACACTTAATAAGATATCGTAAAAAGAATACTCCCCAACATAGATGCATATGAAATGTTCGCATGCACAATATAACAAGCAACATACATTCCAATCAATAATATATAATTCAATGATATGAATCACCATGTCATGCCATGAAATAAGATAAGATTCATAATTAATCATCAAAATTGCTATTTTATTATATTTAATGATTGATTAATTGCATATTATTTATGTTTAAATGTGTTAAATTCCTTGATTTTCTAGTTTGATACTTTTTCTAGTTGTTTGGTTTATTTTGCAAGCAAATTGGTTGATTTAAAGTAATAATGGATAAGACAAATGAAGCAATTACTAGAGAAATAATCACAATTAATAAAGATTGAAGAGTCAAGATTGAAATAGGAAGACTTGAAGATATGACAGCAATTTAATTCTTATAAGAGTCCAAGTTAGAAAAAAACTCATTTAGAGTTGGATTAGGAAAGTATCCTAGAAGATAAGGATTTGACACATCTTCAGTATTTTGGTCATAACTTTTGACTCCGATATCCTATTTACTTGATTTTTGGGGGTTGAAAAGAAGACTTCAAGGGCTACAAAAGTATATTTCACAAAATTTTCGTGAATCAATCTCTAAATATTCAAAATCTAAGATTGAAATCTTAACAGATTTTGTACCCGCGCCCCAAAGATTTTATGCACAGGATTTAACCTTACAAAACTTCTTTTTGGAAAAGGAATTTCTTTCAAGCTAACCTTATATCTTCTACCTATACTTAAGATTTATTTTTAGTATAAATAGGGGTTCTCATTTAGAGATTATTATTCTTTTCCCATCTTTTTATTTTGATTTTAGTTTGTCATGTCTGACTAAAAGATTTAACTAGAGCTAGGGGAGGACCTCTCAATGAAGTACGGTAATATTATTGACTTATGAGTTTAATGGTATGTGATGTTTTGTTAATTCAACTTTTGATTTCTTAGCAAAATTTTTGCTCTGTAAAAATCCTTGAGTCATTGTGTCATGTACATTGATTGCTTGAATTTCCCTTCCAGTAAATAACTGGTTATTTCACGCTTAAGTTAATTATCATTATTTCACATAATAATATAATTGGATGATTGTTCAGGTTCCTAAATAATTCTTTGATTATAAATTGCTTAATTCTGTGATTTAAATTAACCGACATTTGATTCTAGTCTAAGGTTAAAAATTAAGTCTTTAATCATTATTATATGAAATTGAGATGGAATACCTGATGCTCTAATATTTTTATTTTAGNATTTGATTCTAGTCTAAGGTTAAAAATTAAGTCTTTAATCATTATTATATGAAATTGAGATGGAATACCTGATGCTCTAGTATTTTTATTTTAGTGTTTTAATTACTTAAATCAATATTCTCAACTCAACAATCTTTTACACAAATTGTCTTCACAAGTTTGTTATAGTGTTTGTATGATTGTTGCTATTTTACAATTCTTTAAGGGTTCGACCTTGGTCTTCTAAGAATTATATTACTTCGCTCAATCTGCGCTTGGATTTACAATATTAAAGTTGAAGCAACTCACTCATGCATATCAACTCGAGCATTTATCGACTCCCTCAACATATGCAATGTCATGAGCATGAAAATCGGGCATTATAAGTATCCGTCATTAATGTTACACATCGAATGACAATTTTATAAAACAAAATCAGGTTTCTTTGTTGGATATATGGATTCTGATGTCTCACCACCGGTTCCACACACCGATACGTTTTTTTGGACTTGCACCATCGAAAGTGTATAAACAAGTAATCGAGTCTTGCACCCGATGGAGAGTCTAGCCCTTCTTGCTATATCCGACACAAATTTTTCATTCAACCATGTGACTCTATTGAACCTTGGTTCAACTATACCGAGCCCACTTACCAACCACCAAGAATGGTATTTGATTTTAAAACATGCATGCACACCTACACTCATGCACAATACCCATGAATGTGATGTCTCTGTACATATGCAAATGTAGTGTACATTTGTAATACTAACATCATGTTTAATATGTTATGAGTGCCACATGAACCATTTCAACATATATTGTGGCCAATTATATCCAAAGTACATAATTTTCATAAATCATCATAATGTCAACATATCATTAAGCATATATCAACATTACACCCAACAACAAAATTATAAACATGTTATCATATAATCTAATGCAATTAACACATTTAATTTCATATAGGCATTTAATCAAATACCTTCAAGTTACCAATTCATGTAATCACATGGAATGTCCAATTGCATCACATAACTTAAGAAATTACATTAAGTAATTTCTACATACTCAATTCATGATAGAATTTATTCTACTCATTTCATCAATTCAACAACAATAGGCAAGTGTTAAATATCTTTAACAACCTACCCATCCCATATCACAAACCTAAGTTGAAAATAAACCTAATTTAGATGAAAATCTTACTTCTTGAAGTGTAAAACAATGTTATGAAGCTCCAAGAACCCGATTCTAGCCTAAAACCATTGATTTCTCTAAGCTCATTTTTTAAACTTCGGTGAAATCCATCCTTTTTGGTATGGTCTAGTAGTCTTCGCCATGTAGAATAATCTTTGTTCTTGGCTTGAGTCGATTAGAGCAATGTATCAGTGTACATCGTAGAGAGAAGGTAGAGAGAATTCGGACTTTCTCCCCTCTTCTTTTCTTTTTTGAAAATCAGCTGATAAATGGGGAGAAAATCTGATTTTCTTCCCTATTTATACTCTTTAAATACTTGATCCATATTTTGCCACACGTTCTTCTTTCCAGGGTCCGATTTTGACCTGAAACGATTAAATTTCATTCTGATTCAAGTTCAAAATA